TTGGATGCATAAACTGAAAAATAAATAAATAAATAAAAGATCCTAAGCTATATATATCATTATAAAGCTTACACTGTTATAATGATATAAAGTCGACTTCAAGAAAATGAGTCAGAGGAACAAACTGTAATTATGTTGCCTGTATTTAAAATACTGCACACATTTAAGTTCACTGAGTTTCTTCAACAATTCCTTTTTGAGTTGGGCTTAATAAATGTTTATGACTGACTCCAGTGTTTGTGGAGGTTTAATTTATGTTAACTTCTTTTCTGAATATATGTTGTATGCTTTCTGCTGCGGTCCATGTTGTATCTTTAATATCTTTAACATAACGTCCTCTGTGAGATCACTCTCTCACCTGCCTGCTGAATTCTCCTCATTAAGATTTACGCCGGTCTCTGAGGGTCAGCTGCAGGTTTTTGTGGGTTCACCGTTCAGCTACCACCCACAGTCTCCCCCGAGCTGGACCAGACTACAAACCAGCACAGACCCTAATTATCCCTGTCCGGGCTTTTAGTCCTGACATGAGTTAAAGTGTGGAGTTTCATGACTCTGTGATTACTTTCCATTTAGTGAAGCTCTGCATTAATTTATGGTCGTTCGTGTGTTTTTGGCTGGTGCAGTTTGATACTGTATCAGAGTTAAAAAGATTTATGTGATAGGAGTTCAGTCTGAGCCCAGAACCCGCCCGTCAGACTCACTGATAAAACACTGAGTGTTTAATGAACTGTTGGTTCAGCTTTAAGGATTAAATATAGACCGAGACTTTGTGTAACAGATCAAAAATAAGAGTAAAATAGTTGAAATTCAAACACTCAAATGGTTAAATTCAGCTCTTCTCCACATATTCAACAGTAATAATTTATGTTCCCATTCACTACTCTCACTGTTCTGTGACATATAGTCAGAATATAAGTTTCTATTTGAGTGTTAAAGTTCAGTTTTATTTTTATAAATGTAAAGAAATGATGCTTCAGACATTTTAAAGTAATGAGGAGAGGTTAGCAGAGCTGGAATACGTATTAACATCTTTAATTTAATTAAAATAGCAATATCACAATGATAAAATACTCTGTAACTTAGTATAAGTGTATAAGTATTAGTAAGTCTATAGGTACACATGAAGTATCATAAGTAAATAAAGACAGTGTTATATTTATAATATATATCATAAGAGAATTATTGCTGATTAACGTTTAATCATCATTTTGTGTTGTAATGGTCGAACTTTTAGTTTAATCTTTATATAAAACTGCATATTTTATCCTCTGATTATGTTTTATGTATAAAATCTGCAGTAACTGCAGCTGTGAAATATTTCTGAGGAGAAGAATTTTATAAAATATCATCTAATAAAGTAAAGTACTTTAAAATTGTACGTAAGTGTTGTACTTCAGTAAAGACGTGGAAGATGTTTGTATTTAAATAATTCCATCTATTGTCCGTCTGTGTCCTTTCTTGATGTTTCTCCTCTTCCTCTTCGTGTTTTCCTGTTTCTTTATGCTTACTCTGTGTATGTACAATGAGAGCAATGTAAAACTTTAGAAGAAGTACTGTGGTGCTGCAAAGATGCTCTGACCTACGAATCTTATTCTCCAGATGTAAGAAAACAACAAATGTAACAATATCATGATTTTAATGGATGAGTCCTTCCCTCTGTAATCATAAATCTCATTGTATCCACGTCGTGCAGCACTAACTTCAGCACAATGCAGAGGCACGCAGGAGAGTGGATGATATGTAACTCAGGTCCCTGATTGCGTGGTATGCGTCCTAAACCGCCAGTCCTTCAGGACGCCCCCGCTGGGTGGTTCCTTATTCATGTTCAGGGTCTCTCGACTTCCTCTGAGACAGATCTGTGAGTTCGGACTGTAAACAAAATCCATTTGAATGAAGTTCAGTCTTCAGCAGTCGTTCCTAAAACCATCTATCCACAGCTCACACGTTCATTGTTTTCCTTTAAAGTGTTAACCTCTGAAATGATCTTTTAATATGTTTACTGTGTTTAATGAACGTTGCTGGTCCATGATTGATTCTTACTGGGCTGATGGTTCCCATAATGAGGCCTTTAATTTTAAGTTGATGTTTAATTCATCAGATGAAGCTCAAATGTTTGCAGCTCTTCTCTATGAAGTTTACTAAGCTGCGTATTCATTCCCCCCCTCTTTAATTTGGACGAATAAAATCAACGCACAAACTTCATTTCTAAAAGAAAAGCTGTACAATACTTTTCTAACTGAGATCTGTTCATCCTGATGCAGATCTTCAGCCCGTGTCGGACTCTTCCGCAGACTCGCGTCAGCTCTGCAGGATGGCGTTTTCCTTTCAGAGATGTTTGGACGTTTCCATTCGCCACAGACAAACTGCAGCAGCCGGAGCAAACTGGCCACTTTCACATCGAGCTCTGAACAAAGAATAGGGGCCCTGGAGGAGAAGACTGCGAGTCTGAGACATGGGGAGGCCTTTTTTTTTCTTCTTTCTTTTCTTTTTTTTTCTCTTGCCCTAGCTGGCACCGGAATGGACTTGTAGGCAGGAAAAGAGAATCTGGAGGGAAAACTAATGATGAAAAAGTCTACTCTATCCCTGTGCCTTCATTAAATACATGGAAAGAACGAGAGAGGCACATCTGGATTCAATCCGCGTCCCTTTGATGGCATCAAGTGTTCTTTTCCCAGATCAGGGGGCTGGAAGCTACGGGATGTCTATGGCAGCTCGGAGCCCGGAGTCCACTCCTGCCATCTGAACACAGGACCCCCTCCAACCCCCCCCTCCACACACACACACACACACACACATCACCTCCACCATCCAGCTCCCTCCATTCCTTCATCCCTTCACCCCCACCACCTCCAACACAGAGGTGGGAAGTAACTCAGTGTCAGAACGACTTTCTCCTTTTAGTCCACTACATTTATCTGATGCTTTACAGACTCAGAGAACAAAACTTCATTACGATGTACGTGTTTTTTTGTGCTGTGAGTCCTTAAAATAAAATATAATTGTCACAAGGTATGGCTTCAGCAGTAAGCAGCCAAACAGAGATTTTCCTTTTTCCGATTGGTTTCTTTTGGGCATTTTTTAACGTACAATATGTAATTCCTGCCAGTAGGGGGTCTCTCACATCTAAACAATAACTAGAGATGAAGTTTAATGATGTTGTGAAGCAGCGTGGGATCATGGGAGTTGTTGTCTTCACCACCATTGGCGTCATTGCAGTCAGCTTCTC